TGTTTAAATTGACGCTAAGTTATTTAAGTGTCTGTACAATTATAAATCTGTGCTTGTTATTTTGTACTAATATTGTATTTTCATGCTGTTCATTGCAAAGGCTAACCATATCTGCTAAAGGGTTTTTATTTCAACTTAAGAACTTAAAAAAACAAAAAAACAAAAAAACAAAACATTTTGATAATTTCACAGTCAGCAGGCATGACAGAGTTAGAGGAGCAGATGGTTGGAGTAAAGAAAATCGACGACAATGCAGGTTTCAAAGTTAAGGTACTCGTTACCTCCATGACTCATATTTACGTAAATGGTAAACTACAGGAAGTTGAAGATCCACGGAGTGAGCTCCTCACAGCGACAGATGCATTTGACAGACAACATCTAAAGGAAGCTATTGAGGCAAAACAATGAAGTTTGACTGACTTCCAGGGTCACCTTTAGAAAGAAGATGACCAAATTGAAGGCCTCCGATGCTCAGAACGCACACAAAATCCTACTGAGAAGATTCGTGAGTTTCAAGAGGACGAGGCCAAGAAAAAGGAGAAAAGGCTGCTGTCCATGTATGAGCAATGGAAGCTTCAGGTACAAAAAGCAAGAGATCAATTGAAGACATACATGCCAGAAGATCAGCTCTGGCTCCTCATTGATGAACTCAAGAAAGGTAAGGGAGACATAATGAACATGTATAGTCAAATTCGAGATCTCATCACACCTTCGACCAACATAAGAAGACAAGTTGATACGTGTGAATCAGTGACCACAGAAATAATCAGCATTGCCTACGACAGAGCTATACATGACGTAGGTGAGTTCAATGAGGAAAATGAAAGACGCCGTCTTCATGAACTGCACCGCTGTGACTATGCATCATCCGCCTATGGATCTGCAACTTCCTTGATGTGTCGCAGCACGTCAGGACACCACTCCATGATTTTGTTGATTGCAGCCAAGCGTGTAGATGCAGCAGTCGAACTAGCAGTGAAGGAAGCAAATTACATGACGATGCGAGGAAGAAAGACAAAGGGAATCGATACGGGAGTTGAAGGAACAACAACGGAAAGCCATAGAAGCACAAAGGCGTGAGTTAGAGCGATTGCAGGCAGAGAAAGAAGTGCGGGCAACTCAAGCTAAGCTAAAGGTTTACGAGAAGGAGACGGAATGCGAAGCTGCCAACTATATCAACAATGAAAGGAATAAGAAAACAACAAATTTGCCTGTCACTGCAGTCCCTCTATCACATGTTGAAACACCCTCTCATACAGGCATTTCCTCTCTCGCTCAGGTCCTTCAAGAGAGCTTAACCTCGAATAGGCTGCCTGTTCCTGAGCCCTTTGTCTTCAATGGTGATTCTATACGATTCATTGAATGGAAGTCATCATTTACCTCGCTCATTGACCAACGGGCAATCACTCTAGCTGAAAAACTCTTCTATCTGAAGAAATATGTTGGTGGCCCAGCATGCCAGGCTTTAGACGGTACCTTCTACCGAAGTGACAATGAAGCTTACCAAGATGCCTGGAACAAGCTCAATCGTCGCTTTGGCCAGCCATTCACCATTCAGAGAGCATTCAGAGAGAAGCTCACCAATTGGCCAAGGATTCAACCTAAGGTTGCTGAAGGACTCAGAAACTTCTCTGATTTTCTTAATGTCTGTCAAGATGCTGTGCCTCATGTCAAGGGTCTCAACATATTAAATGACTGTGAAGATAATCAGAAGCTCGTACACAAACTACCAGACTGGGCAGCTTCACGCGGGAATCGACAAGTCACACAAAGCCTGAACGAGAACCAAGAATTCCCAAGTTTCAAGGACTTTGCTAGATTCACGTCTACTGAAGCTGAGGTTGCGTGCAACCCAATTACGTCCTTTCATGCCCTTCGTCCTTCAGACTCTAGCACTGAGAATAGAAATCTCAGAGACCCAAAGCGAAACAAGGCCAGTGTTCTCACCACTCAAACAGCTGCAGACAATGAGCACCTAAGGTCAGATCAGAGAAAGGTTAAACCTCCATGTATACTTTGTTAAGATAATAGACACTAGCTTCATGCATGCTCCAAGTTCACAGAGATGTCGTTGATCGAGAGACGGAACTATGTAAAGGAGACAAACTCTGCTATGGGTGCCTAAAACCTGGCCACAGCGGGAAAGACTGCCGTCATCGTCCCACCTGTGACACCTGCAAGAGGAAGCATCCTACAGCCCTCGATGACAAAAGGGAAGGTTCCTTATTAGAACCGAGGACAAATCAAGGTGCCGCTGCTACATCACTTAGTGTAGCAGGCGAAGGCTCGTCCAACACATCGATGGTGATGCCAATGTGGGTGTCATCTAAAAATAATCCAACTTCTGAGAAACTTGTCTACGCTCTACTTGATACTCAAAGCGATACTACATTCATCGAACAAGAAGTGAGCGACCATCTTAATGCTCCAGTGAAGCTGAAGTTGACTACAATGAGTGGAAAGGACACAGTTCTCACAAGTGAGAGGGTTTCCGGCCATCGTGTAAGGGGATACAGTTCAAACATTGAAATTGATCTTTTGGTTGCTTACACAAGTTAATTCATACTTTTTCCAAAAACAACACTGAGACATTTTGACACTGTTGTGGTTACAAAATATTTAATTCATGAAATGCTCTAGAAATTTTAGAAAATCAGGACACCTATTACTGAAAAAAAACCACTTTAGCTGTTACCAGTGAAATAAATGCAACTGATGAAATCTGATATATTTTAAAAATAGACTAAATTAATTCAGCCAATGACAGAAACAAAGTCAGAGCTGCCATAATAAGCTCTTGCATACGTAGGCAGCGGAGCAACTTAGAGCACTACCCAGAAGTAAGAAAAGAGGTTGTTTCATTTATTTATCAAATATGAAATATTTATAGGTTTCAATCTGCTGGCAGAGGAGGACCAGACAGAACAAACTGTGGGTGGAAGAACCACAAAGTTGCTATGTTAATTAAATCATCTGGTGGAGGACTGCCTGCTGCTCCGCATACATTTTTTCATCCTGTACATTCTCAGGCTTTTAGGCAATCATGATGGACTGACAACACACTGCAGGCCATTAACATACTGCCCTTCTGTCAGCCCGACTTTGCCTGTCAGAAAATAGGAGTGGGCAGCTCACCTGCAAGGTGACGTGTTTGTATACACACACACACACACACACACACACACAAAGACACACGCACGCACGCACGCACGCACGCACGCACACACGCACACACGCACACGCGCACACGCGCACACACACACACACACACACACACACACATATACAAACAAGCCTATGTTGTCCACAAAAACTGCAGATGTTCCAGTTAAACCAGTTTGACTTGTTTTTCCTTCAAACACTGAAACCTCACATGTCTGTCGTGTCAGAAATAAACTGGCTTAAATTAAAGCTAGTCAGTGCTTCTTAAATAAAAAACAAAAACATAAATGAGTCACAAAACCTGCTGCAACACAGAGACTGTGAAGTTTAGGGTGGAAGATTAGTTCCCTCTGAAAGGGAGAAGTTAATTATGTAGCTCTGACGCACCTAAAGGGCTCTTCGATTTGTGGTTAATCCCCATCAAACAAGGATTATACATTTACTGGCACCTTGTTCAAATCAAACTAATGAAACACATCCTCAGAGAGTGTGGGGCACATCTGCATGTACACGACAGTCAAATGATCAAACAGAGTGTAGAAAGAGACCCGAAAAAAAGGCAATGCTGAGACAGATCGCATTCAATAAGTTTGCAGTGCTCTCTCAGTTAGACAGCATTTTAAATTAAACATGAAAGCTGGAGAAGAAGGCACTCCTCCTTCTACAGAAACTTGAGACAAGCCATGATATTCTGAGAGACAGCACACCCAGCTCAGAGCCGTCCCCAAGGAGACCCTTCTCCATCAGATAGACTACATCAGAACACACAAACGTGGTCCCTCATCCCACAACATCCCAGGAGGGCAGACTGACCGTCAGGGCTCTATACAGCTGATAAGCACTTATGTACAGACTTCCTTCCTCCTCTGTATCTTTAAATGGATGACGGAAGATCCATCACTCACAAATGGGAGCATAAAGTCATCAGGAAGTTAAGTTTCCAGAAAAAAAATATTATCCAGAAATGATCAAATCAAGTCCTGTTCAGTCTTAACTTAACATAGTCATTAAACAGTGAGAGGATTGAGAGGAAGGGACTGTATAAACTTTGATAAGAACTTGTAAATAAATCATGGCTAATCTCTCTCTCTCTCTCTCTCTCTCTGTAAAAGCTATACGCACATTTTAGAATTCCCTGAGTCTTGCTGACGTGAAGAAAGAGATGAAAGATTCATGATTGTTTAAAAAATTCAAACAGATGTCCTGAACTTTCGCTACACAGCAACGCAGATAAATTATTTAGTCTTTGGATGCAAGAAAGTTATTTTGGGAGATTGGACAGATTGGAAAGTAAAATCCAAACAATATAAGAATCCAGCAGACAAAAGCAGTGATTATTAGGCATTTGTGTCATTATTATCAACTAGTTGTAACTGTGATTTGATTGCAGCAAAGGATAATACTTACAAAAAAATATTTAATAAACTGAGTCCTTTAGAGTGCCATGTTTTGTGTGTAAAATGTTCTGTTTATACTGACTGTATTGGGTAGGTGAAGCTGCAGCATCAGTCCGTGAATGCACCAGCAGAGGGAGACCATGACACATGACAGAGCTGTTTCCCTGCCTCTAGTTTTATTTTTTCTTCACTTTGACATTTTAATCAATAAAAGTGAGACTATTCATATACATTTTTTTTAAATAAGGACATATATATTCATAGGTATGACTGTATTAGACAAGTCAATGTATGTTAATAGCCCCTTAAACTACAATAGTTAATTTGTAACTTGTAACTTAAAATAACTTGCTTAACAAGTTGTCCCGCTGTCTTGAAACATTTCTAAATAATCTAAGGGGATGGCGGTGTCATCAAAGGTAGTGATGACGTAGCTTAACTTTAAGAGACGGTCAGCTCTGAAGGGTTAATTTGAGTCGGACATGATGACACTGAAATAGCTTGATGAATTAGCCTAGCTGTGCTTTAGTCCTTTTCGCCGATTTTTTTTTGTCAGTCTTGTTTCCACAGGTGAGTGTAATGCCTCCGTAGCCTTAGGTGTAAGCACGAGCTCGTCGGCAACACAGAAATGTGAAGCTCACGCGCCTGTACTGCGTCGCACTGTGCCGTCCTCAGCGCACTGCGTCATGGCGACAGCGGAGACAAAGTTACGCATTTCCTAGCCGGAGTTTATGGAATATCACTCCGGCAGCCAGAAGACACATGTGTAAGTAGCCTACTCCACGTTTATACAGAATGTTGCTGAGATAAATACGGGAATACTTCCTGGCTGTAGCTTACCTGTTCAGCAAGGTGAGCTTTCATGACACCTGTTAGCAAGCACTGTGTAGAGTAGGCTACTTTTCTTATCACAGGTATCCCCTCTTATCAAAGTATTCGAAGTTTTGATAGTGCTGTTATATGTGTGTGGTTTCTTTTACAGAGCACAGAAGGACTTTGGTCAGAAATGCTGTAACTCTTTAATTGTGTAATTTCTGACACTACTAGTGTCACTGAAGTAGCATGTCATCTCTCTCTTCTCTCTCTCTCTCTCTCTCTTCTCTCTCTCTCTCTCTCTCTCTCTCTTCTCTCTCTCTCTCTCTCTGTATGGATTGATATTTCAGTGTTTGTCAAGTACCTGAAGCCCTAGCCTCAAACAGAGGCGACACTGTTAACATGGAGGAGCCAGCTCTGGTGGCCTTGCTGGAGTGTCCTCTGTGTTTCCAGCAGCTGGATGTGTCAGCTAAGGTCCTGCCCTGCCAGCACACCTTCTGTATGTCCTGCCTACAGAGTCAGGAGGCAGCCCACTCCAAGCTGCTCTGCCCAGAGTGTCGGGCTCCTGTCCCAGCCAAGACTGTGAACGAGCTTCCCACAAACCTCCTGCTGGTGCGGCTCTTGGAGGGTCTCCAGGGCTCACAGGGGCCCAGCAGGGGTGGACTCACTGCCCACCACACAGCGCCCTTGTCCAGAGGCGGTTTAACTGTGAGGGAGGGAAAACAGCAGGAGAGTCAACATAGAGAGAAGCAAGGGCAGAATGAGGTCAGTGCACGACCCTGGCATTACCTGGGGTGACACTTTATATGGCCTTGTGAATTATGTCATTTTGATTCTGTTAGAGTAATTTGGAAAAATATTACACAATATTTTAATGGCTAAAACCCACTAATGTTTTTACTGTCAGAAAACTGTGCACCAATCTCTATGACAACACAATTATATATTGAATCAGTGGTTACCAAAATACAAATATGAATATTTAAAATCTCTTTTCCATTATGTGAACAGTAACTCTGCATCACAATATACATTATATATATATATATATATATATATATATATATACATATATACATGTGATATTATATTGTCTTGACAATCGGTTGAGATACTTTTATTGGAATCACATGAAATGGTTGTCTTCTTTTGGTGATTAAATAGACAATAACTTTATATCATACTGATGCAGAATTCTGAGAAAGAAATCTTAAAGAAATCCTGCATATTGATTTTTAACATTGCCCACATTGTCCTAATACACCCACACAAGCTGAAGGGAGCATTACCACAGTGTAAACAATAATCTCTCACAGCTGAAGAAATATAACTAGTCTTATTGTCTTTTTGCCCCTGTGGTGATTTCTCACAGTTTGTTTATTTGCACTTTGTGCAATAGGTTTAACTTTCTCATACTCTGTCGTGGCATATAAAATCTTGATCTTGGACTTACCAAATCGTTTCTCCTCAAAAGATTAACATTTCTCTACCTGATGATTTGTTCTGCATAGGGTAGAGAGAATATTTTGTGACAATTTATTTCAAGCTATGATCAAGCATTGACTATTTGTTTTGAGCTATGATAACTTAAAAAACATTAAGAACAATATGTATTTGGTTAATGAAGATGGACCAGAGTAAAACTACTGTCCTCTGATATTTCCTGATAAGATATTCTGAAAATAAATTCAAATTCAATAGTTAAGCACTCACAGACTATTATATTTTCTTATTGTTCAATTGTGCTGATTTACAGGTGTATTTAGTGTTACAAATACATTTATTTTTTTAGTGATCAACCCTGACTTATGGAATTCTTAAAATGGGTTGTTAAGTCTTGTATATTTTTAGGGTTTAAGGAGTTCTAAAAAAACTAAGTGAAAAGGAAAGAGGCAGCAGACCGTGATGTTGAAGCATTATCTTTGAGAATCATTAGTCTGTGTAAAAAAGCTCTGTTTTACAAATCTGTCTCCCACTTCAAACCCTGCTGAGATCTGTTGATCATTAAGTTTCTTCACAGTCTGTCAGCCATGACATACTCATTTGTTGCTTATGTTTTATTCTCTGAGGTCATGAGAGCACATTTCTGTGTACGAACTACACAGAGCTTCTAAGTGTTCTCGAGTTCAGCCAGAATTCAGACGCTTCACCCAAGTTTGTGACGATAACATTATTCTCATACTGCTCAATTACACTGAAAACATTTTAAAAACCTCCTCTTCAAAATGATCTATCTCACACTCATGTCTTCATCAATGCCCTTTCACGTAGAGTGTAAAAAAAAAAAAAAAAAAGTCCAAAGTTAAACTAGAGTTAATCTTTAGAGGGGAAAACGATGTGTCATGTTAAAGAAAACTCTATTTCTTGATAAAAACATCACAATTCCAAGGTCTTAACATGCAGATATTTGTCACTTGTCACTCCTCCAGAGAACCAACACTAGATAATGCTGAACTAAACGAGACACACTGACTCCTCCTGTGGCTGGGCTGGGGGGATTTTACAGCTTTAATATTCTGTTATGTGTCTGTCATGTGACAGTTACACACTGAGTGTCTCAGTAAAGTTAAGGGGACATGCTTTCTTTTAACTGCTGAAATTGCAGTTTATGCATTATTTATTTAAAGGTTTTATCTTTAAAGGCTTTTCTATGCGATTTTTTGATCCAGCAGATGTCGCCCTTGAGCACCAGCATGAAACCAAAACAACTCGCGGTGTATTGTTGTGTTAGCATGCTAATGCTAGCGATCTTTATTATGCTCGTATCTTCACACTGCATGTGAATTTACCCGAAATGAGCGTGATCTAGAAACACAGTTAAGCAGTGAGTACAGTATGTTATTCTTCTTTTCTCTAGTCCCTCAATTAAACAACTTTTATTCGCGAGGGGAGGAGTCAGCCGCAGTCCTGGCGATGTAAACAAACTGAAAATCATTACTCACAGAGTTATTTTCAGAGGATATACTTGATTTATTTTTATATATATATATATATATAATGCCTTTAAAACATAAAATGTTCCATATTACTTTCCCCCAGCTTGCCCTCAGAGATCTGATGCACAACCAGAGAGCTGAATCAACCGGGGAGCCAATCTACGTGTTCAGTAATGGTAACACCCAGAAACATAAAGTGGATGAGAACTGGCACCATCTCGGAAACTATGCTGACAGTAGCGGTTTGTCTGTCACTGCCGGCACGCTGCAGGTTGTCAGCCAGATCCCCCAGCTGCAGCCTCTCCAGCAGTCCCAACCTCTCTGCAGGGCGCTGTTCGACTTTAACCCCGGAGAGTTGAATCAGGAAGACAGTAAATATTGTCTCAGCTTCCTCAAGGTCTGACTCTCACACAACTGACTTATCACAGCTGGAAAAGATTATTTTAATTTGCGCAGTCTTGTATTTGTACACTTGATCTCTTGCTAGCAGGGTTTGTTAGTCTTTAGTAAAGCAACAGGAGAATGATTACAAGCAAACTAATACTTCTGGGAATAATGAGACTGAAAGAGCAAAGGTACACCTTGATTCTCTATAAAGGCCATCTTATACTAACTACTTCAACTGTCCAACCACCTCTGTTACATTATTAAACATCAAGACTTTGACATTTAAGTCTTTCTTCTAGTGCTTAGACATTCAGTGAAAAATCCTGACAGTCATGTACCAAATATTTTTTGGCTAGAACAGACATGTATTTTTTGTTGGTTATACTGCCAATTATTTTCTCATTTAATTGTTTGGTCTAAAAGTGAGCAACTTGTTGGGAATTACTTCACTTACAGCATACAGGAAACATTTACAAAACAATGTTCTTTCTTCTCTCGTGGACAATTTAAAAAAGTCAGTTCACATTTATGCTACAACCACAAAACATCTTCAGTTTTTGCTTTGAAAAAACTTTAACTATAAAATGATTGTTTGCCTTATTCTGCTAAATATCACAGAAACCGGTTTCTTTCTGGCTGCTGATCAAACCAATTGTGGAATATTAAAGATCACTGTGGTCTCTGTTTTTTATGGGCTAAATGATGTATTGGTTAGCTAAATAGATAACGAATGGATCCCTCAATTCTGAAAATACGTGTTAGCTTCCTTTAGATTTGTTTAGACATAAACTTTAGTAGTCTGTTAATGTTTTAGCAAAGGAAGTTTGCGTCGATGCTTATAGCTAATGGTAATCGTTTTTGTTCTGTGCTTTGAGACTTTTAGAGCTGGAGGTTCAGACCTTTCCGCTGTGGTCTTTATGTCCCCTAAAGGATTTCAGAGGCAGTTATATAAGAGCCTCTGTAGTTGTGTGCTTTCCATTAAAGCACACTTACACTCAGCTCTTTCCCCCTAGTTTTAATGCAGATGGTCAAATGGTTTTTAGAGCGAAGCTGTCCACAGAAAAGACTAGGCCTGCAGACACAAAGCGAGTGGATGTCACATGCAGGAGAAACGCAGTGCTCAGTCTCCAGGACGACCACACTCTGCTACACACACCTGGATCCTGTTTGTTGTTTTATCCGTATGTCTGCCACTCAGCTTTGCTCCACTAAGTTCAGCTCTCTCTGTGTGCCTGTTGCTTATTTCTGGGCTACAGGGGGACATCCTGACTGTCATCAGGCGGGCAGATGAACACTGGATTGAAGCCAAGCTAGGGGACAAAGTTGGAATTTGCCCTTTGCAGTTTACAGAGGTAAGTTCTCTCTAGTTGTCTCTTCTTTCTTCCCTCATTGTTTGAATATGGCTTTGGCCTTTTCAGCGTGATCAAGCTTGACACCTGCCGTTTGACACCTGGGACTGACCGCGTAGCTCTACAAATTAGAGCATAGACGACGTCCCTGGATGCCATTAATTCCAGATCACTGCCAGGGCACTACCTTGATTTTTCATTCAAATCTTTTTTTTATCCGTAAAAGTCTCTCCTACACTTTAAAGTGCTGAGGCATGGAGCTCATCTGTGAACCCTTGCTGTTTCTGCAGATGCTCATTAGCGTGTGACTATGTGGCTTAGTCATGTTTGCTGTGCTTGCTTAGCTAGCTGACTATCATTTGTTTTCCTCTGTGGTTTCTGCCTCAAGGATGAACATCATCCCTGCCGGGGAAATTTGCGTGCTTCTACAGTCAGTTAATGTGGTGCCTCATTCAGTTTTCTTTCCTCACTTTTCATCTGTTCTGCTATAGTTTTTTTTCTAATATTTTGCTCTCTTTCCTCTTATTCATCCCCTCGTCTCCTGTCCACCCATATCTTCTCCTGAAGCCCCGCCTCAGTGATGCTCTTCATCTTTATCCAACTCTGTTCTCTATGCTTTCATCCTCCTCTTCTCTCCTCTCCCCTCCTCCTCCCTGAGCCTGCCTCTCCTTGTGTCGTGCAGCCAGGCGTAAAGACACAGTAATGCTTTCTCTTCTTGGGTGGCATAACAGCACATCACTGTGGGGAGTGAAAGCATTAAACCTGCCATGTCTGTCTGTCTGCCTGCCTGCCTGTCTGTGCAGCTCCTCTCTTAGCACCAGTCAACCCTCTCTGGCTTAGTGGCTGGAACTTATGCTTCTGGCGTCCTGCTTCCCTGCTTGCCTGTCTAACAAGTTGTAGGGGTGAGTTGAGTGGTGAAAAGTGGGTGTGTTTAGACAGCCGTTTTGCTGAGGTTGATAGGAGCTGGTTGCAGGTAGCAGCGAGTTCTAGATGATTTTCTGCACTGAGGATTGACTTTTCTCTATATGGGGCTTCATCCTTATTTTTAAGATGGTTTCAATTTATGTTTTTATCTCTTTCAGCCAAACTCTGTTGCTGCCAAGCTGCTGGAGGGAAAATCTCAGAGGGGGAGTGAATCAGCAGAATTTCACCATCGCACTGGGAGTGGGAGCAAAGAAAAGGCCACTGACATTCCTAATAGGACCACCCTTTACGGGGTCCCTCAAGTCCCAGCAAAGACCCCCTTCACCAATGCTTTGCCACTCTCCAACCAGCGGAAACAGCCTGCAGCCAGCAGCGACAACTTTTATCAGACCAGCAAAGGAGAGACGGCAAAAATCAGCAACTTCAACAGCTTCAACCATCAGGGTCAGTCGCAGCGTCTCTCTGTGCATGCCGCAAACCGTGGCCTCTCTCACCCCCTCCCGAGTGAACTCTCAGCGAATTAGACGGCACTCTGAAACTACGCACCGACACCTGTTACAGGTGAGTCCTGTGCAAACACATCTTGGCTTTTTACGTTTAAAATTGCCCCTGTAAAGTTCTCAGATCTCCTCATCACATCTTTGAGCTTAACTGTGTTCCGCTTTGTTTCGGTTTTTTATTCATTTGTTGAATGACTGAAAACATGTGGTTAGCAAAAAAGGTGTTTTTCTGTGAGATAATTGATGTTTTTATTTGAGTCACTGAGGGATCAAGTTATCCTCAAGAGTTGCAGGGAGGGACCTGTGACACTAAGCTTTAGGAATGAATGTGAAAAAGGCATCGCCCTTGTGCTAGCCATTACATGATGAAGTGTCTTTCATTAGAACAACACAGATGTGGAAAAGGGTTTTAATGTGAAAGGAGATGACTGGACCAAAACTTTGAAAGGTCTTTAATCAAGAGATCTGGAGTAGAAGCCAGTGTTTCCCCTCTGAGATGAGTAGTGGTTTTACAAGGTGTGTGTCCTTTTGCCATCTTCAGCAGATGCAGATATAGTGCGTGAGAGAAGTTCTTCTTGAAAGGGTGTTTAACATGGACAGGTCAAATTCTAGTGCTTTTATAAACTACTAACGACTTCAAATACAATGCTGCAAAAAAATGAAAAGAAAAAACAACTCAACTATGCTGTAACTAAAAGGAGTGTGTTTTACACTATTGACCCTATAAAGAGGTTCATCTTTTGAATTCATTCATTAAAACTCTGAGTATAACTTCAGAACTTCTGGTTCCCAGGTTATCAGAATTCATTACTTGCTGTCTAACATGATATCTGCGTTTTTTTTCTTAATCACTTTTTTATCCGTCAAGTTGAAAATACAAAAGACAAGAACAACTTTTGAACACTTTCCCATGCTAAAAAGCATGCTTTGGAAATGCTTTGAGAAATATAATCTTATTTAGTTCTTATCAACAGAGACTATACTTTTTGATTAATTTTCTTTGCAACAATGTTATGAACATAGGGTGACATGTGGCCAATTATTTGCATTGGGGACGATGGCAACTAAAATGTGAATACTGCACAAAGTCGGCCAGTGCGTGAGTGCAGTGAAAATAAAGGGAGAAATAAGAGATAGATGTAAAGAGTGGGAGGCTTGGAGAGTCCCTCAGTGTGTCCGCTTATCTCTCTCATGCTGATCATGATGAGTCACTGGTGAAGTTGGTTACATAAGAGACCCTCTCTCCCTCTCCCTCTCCCTCTCCCTCTCTCTCCTTCTCTCCCTCCCCTCTCCTCTGCCTTCAAACTCCTTCCTCTTCACTAAGCAGGTAACACTCACTTTCACATCAGTGGTCAAGTAAAATCAGGAAAGCCACGCACTTTTTCTTTTTAAAGGAGTTGAGGGTTCTGTCCCTAAAGCCGAGGCTGAGCTCTCCTCTGACCGAGCCAGCATGTATGCTATTCTTAGCGCTGCATCCAATCAGCTCTCACCTCTGGCTCTGCTCAGATGCAGCTTCCCACCAACTGTGGATGAAATGATGTGTTTTTTGTGTGAATATTGGCAGGCTTATGTAAGAGCAACATTTAGGGTGGGAATGATTCAAAAGTGAGAACATCTTTAAATGCAAAATAGAAATGTTCAATCACACATCATCCACTTTAATGACACACCAAAGAGACTGATAATGTTTTTTTGTATTTAGTAAATACATAAACTGTTAAACAATGGCTTAAGAAGACTAAAAACAACTAAAAATATTCAAAGCATGTGTAAACAGAATGGGATTGAGTATCTTTAAAGTGTCCCATATCTAAAACAGGGACCTTAAATTACAGTTATCTTTAGATATAATATTAATATGCCTTTATTTTTTGGAAATGACAGTGGATAGTCAGAAACTTGGGGGGTGGGGGGGAGAAAGTCGGGGAAGACATGCAGGAAAGGAACCACAGGTCAGATTCGAACCCAAGCCACCCGCTATTGAGGACTTAGGCCTCTGTACATGTGTGTAGTGACCTCTAGGCTACCAGCACCCGGTCATCTTAATATTGTAAGGTACTTGATTATAATATCACATATCACGTGTGATGCAGGTTGGCATCTAGTCATACAGAAATCTAAGCATCATGCCTTGTGGTGTTCATCTCCAACAGACATTATGTAAGTATCTAGTAGAGATTGATGACATCTTGGCGCACCCAATTTCTAGTTATCTAGATTAACTGAACATTTGAGGGCTGTGCGGGGCGTTTAAATGAGGCATTCATTGATACTGTTGCTTTACAAATATACATCCTTAAGCCAGATTTTGGGGTGGGGGGGGGGTTCCACTCTTGTATAAAGAGTTACAAAAATGTAAATGTAGTTGAAGATTTCTGTCTGATTTACTTCAAAATGACTTCTCAGAATCCTGGTTATCTGTAGATAATCAACATTCTCTGTATGACTTGCACTGAAATTTGAACAGCACCTGCCGCCCACTTAAGTGCAAGCAAAAATCTGCAGACTTACTGGCTGTTATCTATATTTCTGTCGTATAACTGCGGTTTGATCAACCATATTGAGGAAAACCTGCATTATCATTATCCAAATTAATTTCTTTGCAATCCCCTATCAAGACCTTTTTATCACTCAACCAGCACTTTTGTATATTTCTGTAAAGAAGTACAGACAATCAATATGAATGAATTTGAATAGTAATAAACTATTTTATTGCTATTCTTTTATATATAACTGTCAGATAAAATAAAACTTAGTTACTTATTTTATAATGTATCTTTAATGTATTTCTTTTCGAATGCTTTGAGCCTCTGTTCATACTGTTTTTTATTGTGTACAACAGAAGGTTGCTGTTTGACTTAAGTCGATTACAAGACAAGAGGTCAACCAAAGGTGGACATAAGTGTTCTTCTAATTGGCTTCTTTATTTATGAATCCTGTCTGCATGAGTTTGTCAAGCATTTACAACGAATAAGGCTTTATTAACTACATGAATGATAAACTATCCTCTCCATGTAAATATAACCACTGCCACTGCTAGGTCACTGCACCTAGCCTTTGTGTGACTGCAGCATAACTGAAGTACTCTGTGAATCTGATAAAACTCAAACCAAGAATTGAAAGAGAACACAGAGTAATGACAAAAGACTAAATATTTTAATAGATGAATTTAAGAAGTATCTGCCTCTTTCCTTGTTGCATTACACAACAATATAAACTTGGGTGTTTGTTGCCGCTTTTAGCATCAAAGTAATTCTAAACAAGTAGATAAAAAGCCACAGATGACAGTGATGCTTTTCCATGTACTCTTGATGACATGCTGGTATGTCTTCAGGACATTATAGCACCACTTTATCTCGCTTTACTTCTGCCTCACAGCACCGCCATTGATAGGTGTGACTTTGCTTAGAGCAATGGCTGCATCTTGTTTATGACTCCTTTTGTGCTTCTCTGTTGTACTGTGTTTCTTTGCAGCCTAATGGAGGGGGAGCTGTGGGATCCAGGGACATGTTGTGTATAGGTAACACCAGGCCCACAGGCCAGCTGTAGTAGTTGAGTTGTTGTGCTGTTAAAAGTAGCAAATCTCTGCAGAGCTTTAAACGTTGGTTAAGTTTTTTGTTTTATTGTATTAAAAGAATTGTGGTATATTTGTTTGATTGGATAAATGATGAGGATATAAAAAAAAGATCTAAGTGAAGTACATGTTTCAGTTTGGACATTACATAAAAGGATTAATCTTCTGACTGTCATTAACGACTGTGAGACACATCTGTGTCACTCCCTGCGAGTCAGTGGCTGTGTCAGGCCTGACTCACAGCCTGCTGACTTCAAGCCTGTCACACTTTGTTTGCTCTCAGATTTAAAAAGAGAAGAATTTTTTATTCTCACTGCATTTTGCATTGCAGGAAATGTATACGTCATCATTTTTGTAGGAGTTGGAGCTAAAAATATATCCATCAAATATCATATCTAATATTCAGGAAACAAATTAAAGGAAAGTCCTGAATAAATGAGCAGAGAAACATAACTAATGCATATTTTATCACACAGAACATGAGAGTTTGCTGAATAATTGATGGGTAACAAAAATAAAGTCAATCATATGTTATGGCTTCAGCAGTCCCAACACACCAGCTCGAATAAAACATCCTAGTGAGAGTGTAGAGCAACATGTTGAAGACGGCACTCTCCATCACCATCATTAAAAAACCAACAGATACTTTAGTTGGTTTGGGCCAGTTTATATTTGACATTAGATGAACAATAATATAAAAACCCTTCATACATCCTTTCAAGTCTTTTTTTCAATATACCCATGCCCTTTGTTCGAGATTTGGAAATTGTTTTTCAAATAAATTGATTTTATCTGAAGTAAATATGAGGCTTCGGTTTTTTTTGACCAATCAGCTGAATATCTTGTCTCTGTTTTCCTTCCAAACTCCTTTGGTCAGTCCATCTCTTGTTCAGACTTGCATATCAACAACTATGAGACAGGTTATCAGTGGATTTATTCAAGACAATCATGATGATCACAAGAAGAATGCTAATGACTTTGATGAATGATGAACCTCTGACCTATTCCTCCTCCCCCATGTAACGCAACCGTCTTGTCAAATGTTTATGTTCTTCAGTGTTTCGGGTTCATTGGTTGAATAAATCAGCCTCAGCTGCACTTTTTATTTTATAGTGGTCAACAAATGATATTGATTGTAATCAGGTGGGGTTGTTAAATATATTTAAAGGGTTTTTGTGAATTTCTTCAATAGAAATCTGTACATGGATCTTTAATATTGTAAAAAATGCAACACTTATATTTACCACCATTTGAGAAACAATAAATGTAAGAGAAATTAACTTCTGATAGAAGTGGAATAAAATGTTATCAATGTTACTCATGTCAAAAGTGACATGGCACTGAGCCTTTTTCAAATGACAAAGTGAATGTCAGTCTATCATTTAAAATGCTCTCCAGTATCTGTGGGTGTGGATGATTTCAACATTTATGCAGTTGATAACAAAAGTGCTAGCATGGCTGTAGACTCTTGTTTTTATATTGTGCTCTTTAATCATGAGCAATGAATCACAGACTGATTTCCATAAGATGATCATATTGAATCTATTATTATTATTTCAGAGTGAGAAGAAGATGACCAGTGAGACCCCACCCACCATCTCCATGGCCCTGGTAAACCCCCAAACGTCCTCTGCCTCTGCAGACAGCAAAAACTCCTCCACACAGCAGCTCTCAATCAGTGTGTGAGTCACTGTTTTAAAAGTATACTAATCATTTGATGCTGTCAGATACTTAAGAAAGAAACAAGAACCACTTAAGTACCCTTAAAGTAAAATCTGCATTTATATTATAGAAAGTTTGGAAATAACAAAAACCAACCCTCTGTGTGACTCAGGTGTGCCGTCCTGTACTCCTACAAACCACGACAGCCTGAGGAGCTGGAGCTTAGGAAAGGAGAGATGGTGGGAGTGTACGGAAAGTTCAAAGAAGGCTGGCTGCGTGGGTTGTCACTCAGAACTGGCAAAGTAGGCATCCTGCCCAGCAACTACATCTCGCCTGTGCTCAGGTGATAGTTCATGATCTCTGACTGCTGAGAGTGGGAGCGAATGACAGTGTGATTCAGTGTTGGCGGGATGACATGCCATCAAGCACAAATTTAAATTGTTCAAATATAATACTAATGCTAGTGCTAATTTAGTTTAAATGATTTTACTTTGAGAAGTTAAAGTTGGAACATTAGTTTGTGCTAAACTAAAGTGTGTCATTGCCTTACTGCAGAACCTCGGCCAGACTCCTGGAGAACAAAGCTGCTAGTTCTTCCTCACAGTACAACACAGCAGCTGGAAAGAAACCCACAGCTGCCAAGAATCCTGCTGTGGTCCTTGCTTTTGATAGGGTCAACACAGGTGGAACGATATACTCAGCAGGACAGGTCCCATCTGTGCCAAATGGAGCACAGCATGCAATGCCATCCACTGGTGCTGGAAAACCATTCCTCTATGGGGGCTCACAAGGTTGGGAGACGGTGAGGCGAATCTTTAACCCTCATAGAGGTAAGAGTTTAACAACCACATCTAAAATATCACTTCTTGATTTATTTGGATTTGTAGTGCTGTTAAAGGATTCTTTTAAATGTCTTTTTCAGGATCCAACCATTTCTCCCAAACATCCAATATGAACGTCCCGTCCAACTCGCAACACTTTGCACAAGTTCAGGCGTCCGGCTACTCACCTGCCCTGCAAAGGAAGAAAAACAGCAGGCTCCTGTCCAAATCCAGCAGACCACTGGGCTGGATGACTGAGCCAGCAGCGCCCTCTGCTGCTCCAGGTTTTAAGGACAGGGACTTCATTGCTTCACATGAGGCTGCATTTCAGTATGACAGGCATCCATCCAACAGGCCTCATTCAATACTAGTCAGACCTGACTTACACAAGAACAATACAGAAAAGGTAAGGTTACATGACAAAGAGAAATTATATTTCCTTTATCTAAAGTTACACATGCTGTGAGCATTCCTAAACCATACCTATGATTACTTTTATTTCATATTTTATTTCCCTAGCCTGCAAAGTCAGTGCGGTTCCAAGCAGATGAAGACTCCCCTCCTCTAAGACTTCGAACCTCCTCCTGGTCATCAGGAAGTCAGGTCCCCTCCAACGTCCGTCCTGGGCCCCCTCTGTTAGAGGTTTGGGCCCCATCGCTCACCCTGGGAAGAGATGGGCCAGGCATCATTCTCAAAGAAGGAAAGGTTCCTATTTTTCGGCAAGGCCTTGAAACAACCATGTCAGATATAAATTCTAACCCACAGAAATCAACACCCTTACAGCCGTCCCTATCTGCTGTGTCAGCTCAGTTCAGCCCTAGCAGGTATGTTGGATTTGTGTTTGACCAACAAAAAGTTGATAGATTATTAGACAGATATGGTGGGCCTGAACCTTTTTTTTTTTAAATAAAGACTCTACTAAAATCTCTATCATCTTTTCCTTTTTAATTCCAGACACAGAGTGACCTCAACACATTTTGCCCAGACAGACTCTGAGCTCAGTCTGCTTCTAGGGGAGTTGGTACTCGTCCACAGACCTCGACCTGATGGACGGATTCTGGTTACTCAGGAGAGCAGTGGGCAGACTGGCTTATTCCACTGCAGTGTTCTTCAGGCCCTGGAGAGGCTCAGCTGACTGTGTAATAATGTTGTAGTACTGCTGTATATTTCTATATTCCATATGGTCATACTGCCAAATGACTTGACTGACCTGCTGAACAACAAGACGGTCCAGTGGTCCGGTATATAGAGGTCCAAAGGTTAATACTACCAAATGACAATCTTATGAAGGAGATGTTTTTTTTTGTTCTGAGTGCATATGAGACAGTGATTAATTCTACAAAGATATATTGTGTACTACCAACATATGTGCATGTCTGTAACACATGTACTACTATGAGATTTGCACAAAAACCCACCTAATGACTGTTCCTTGTTGAATACCCATGTTACACACATTGGATAGTGCCTTTGTCAAAACCTACAAAGAAAACAAACTATATTTAAATATATTCAGAGACATTATACAGTAAAATATCTGTACTGATTACTTGGTAATAAACTACTTCCAGAACATTGGTAGTTTGGTGTCTTAGTCTTTCAATTAAAAGTCCAACTGCAAACTAAGATAAGAGTAAATAAAGCAATTATATGTCAACGTTGCCTTATTAAACCGCCTTTGTGTTTTTTGGATACCTGCACAATCCACATGTAAAACTTTACTCTGAAACCTCTGGCAACAACATGGTTAGATTACCTACAACTATGGGACTCTTAATCAAACAAGCAAAAAACACTAATAATTAGCTAAAGTTGTGTTCTGTATATTTGTGTCTTGAGTGGTGTCCTGTCCAGGACCAACACTGCTCCTTTAAGGCTAATTCCAGTTTCAATATTTGATTTCAGATTGTCTGAAAACTGTTTATCATTATTTCAAAATATAGCATTATATTTACAAATATTCTGATAAGGACGATTTGAATTTGGTTCTCAAATCATTTTGACCACAACTTGAACTGAATAAGTATCCTAACTGAAAAGTGAAGACAATCTTCAAGAACAACTTCAGATATTCACATACACATTTTCTCTTTTAATTTATTAATTATGATCTCTTAAATTATACATTATACTCCAACTTTAAAATAATTTAAGATACACTTTATTGGACCCAAAGACAAATTTGTCTTGGACTCTGTCCTGCAGTTACAATAGAATAAAAAAAAAACAGAAATAGAGATAATACGAAACACAGCATTTCATGTAACAATTTCACAAATTAACATCTTACAGCAGTGACATGTTGACGTATTGCACGGCCCATTGGCACACCCTATATTACTTGTTATTCTGAAAAATAATGGACATCGGCACAAATTAATGTTTATAGCGATTCAGCCTAGTGTGGGGGAACCTAAATCTCCTTCCAGAGGGAAAAAGCTATTGTTGCCTTATAATTTAAAATACATTAGCCAAAATCAGAGTTATTAGACCATCAGTGTCTCTTCAATGTGCTTTTTAAAGTATGTGCCATATGAATATACAGTAAACTTGGGTCAGGTTTTGTTCTAGCAAAGGAATGTCATACACAATGCACAAAGCAAAGAACGAAAAGGGGCTCAGCAACAAGCCCCCCCAAGCAGGTTAAGTCATTGCCAACAGTGCATAAAGTATAGTTGTTATTACGCTGCAATAAATCACCTACAAAAACGTGTGTAGTTACTAAACATATGCCCTATAAACCCCTTCTCTCATATATATAAATTATTAGATAATAATGTAATTTAGTAAATTGCAGCACTATTTGCAATCAACTGAGACCCCACTACCACTTTCCACTGCAACGCATGCGCAGTCCGACAGACCTGACAGAAAGCTGTCGGATGTGAGCTTTTGATGTTATGGGCACGGCGCTGGCATTTCAATTATTCGGAGAACCTAGAGGCATATGCACAAAGCCAAACGTTTAACTGTTATTATATTTATACAATAATCGCCTTTCTGCGTTGTCACTATGCCGGTAAGTAGCCACACCAATTGGCATTGTTTTGTAAGAAAGGGTTCCTCCCTTCCTCCGACCTCACTGATGTGATGCTAACCGGTTAGCACTGTTAGCTTTACAGTAGCCATTTGTGTACGATACTGGGGCATGTTAACTCTTCCGTAATGTGATTTTTCAAGTTGCCACTAATAATGACGCTTTAACAATGTGGCACTTTGACCTAAACGTTCAAATTAAAGTTTTGTTGGTCTATTTAGTATGTAAGCTATTCGCGAATGCCTGCCTAGCAACCCGGAGTATAGGCGACAACGCTACGTCACAAGCGTGTAATTTAATCGAGTCAGTAAACGAGCTAGTTGCACATTGATACACATGCATACTATTTCCTTACCCGTGTGCCGGCTATGTCCTTGTTCTCACTCTGTTTGACTGAAATTATTATTATGGTCCATTTTTTTTCTCCAGAGTAATAAGCTTGAAAAACCTTACAAGCAGGAGGTAAATGATAACGTTAAGGTGGTGGTGAGATGTCGGCCTCTGAATCAGAAAGAGAAGATGATGGGCCACAAACAGGCCGTGAGTGTGGACGAGATCCGTGGGACCATTACAGTGAACAAGCTGGAGACCCCACAGGAGCCCCCGAAGACCTTCACATTTGACACCGTGTTTGGACCAGACAGCAAACAGCTGGATGTCTACAATCTCACAGCCCGCCCCATCATTAACTCAGTTTTAGAAGGATACAATGGTAAAATATGGGGGACTTTACCCAGTATTTTTTTTAATAAAATAACACCGCTCTTAAATCTGTATCGTTGAAGTAGTAACTGGATAATCTGTGTCTAATATTGTTTTCATACAGACACACTCAAACATGCACATTATAACCTTTTCTTATATGTTTCTTGAATTGTTTGCATGAAGTTTTATATCGAACATACTAAATGGTTTTATTTAGACCCTTTTTTGGTACATTATCCTATACTGGCATTGGTGAGTTTATGCTCTGCTGTCCATTTCAGGAACCATTTTTGCATATGGGCAAACTGGCACAGGAAAAACCTTCACCATGGAGGGTATGAGGGCAGTGCCAGAACTCAGAGGAATTATCCCAAACTCCTTTGCTCATATTTTTGGTCACATTGCCAAGGCAGAGGGTGACACAAGGTGAGATAGCGATCATTCAAACATTCGGCAAAAAACAAAAACACATCTATACTACAAATTAAAAAGAACTTGTCCACCTGACAACTCTAGATGTTAACATGAGAGTAAAAAAAGTGAAACTGCTGGTCTTTTTATTATTTTTCCACTTCACCACAGTTATAGCAGAAACTGAGACATTTATCAATTTACTGTCTTGTTTTATTCTGAAACATTAGTTTAATATGAATATAGTCAGGAGTCATTCAGGTCTTAAGTCTTGTGTTTAATACACTGCAAGTAAAAATGCAACTAATCTTCGATGGTTTCTTTAAGGTTGTCTAACTTTAAAACATTTTTCTTTTAAAAAGACCAAAATGAACATGCATTTCCAATAAAACTGGTTTGATGGATTTTATGCTTTTTTTGGTAATGCAAAACAATCAGACTCAATGAAAATAACACATTTGCATCTGTTCAATTGATTATAAATGGATAGCCCAGTGCTTTTAAGTGGAATAACATTTCTTTATGGTTTGAAAATGTGTGTTTCTCATTGAGGTCTTGTTAGCAGATTCAAAGGCTGAATTCAAACAGTCCAGTGTGAAGAAGCACAAGTGTTGCTCGATATTAATTAAATAATCTCACTTTGAATACACATTTCACTTTCACAGGTTTTTGGTTCGTGTTTCATACCTGGAAATTTACAATGAGGAAGTGCGGGACCTGTTGGGAAAGGACCAACTGCAGCGTCTGGAGGTAAACCAATATTGAAATTCATTGTTAAAACTTGGATTTCTGAAATGAATGACAAAACATTTTTGAATATCATTAATAGAGTATTTTTTTTTACATGAAACTAGCAGAAGATGGTGCACTATATTTTAATTTCCATGATGATAAAGTTCTATTTTCTCATTGCAGGTGAAAGAAAGGCCAGACGTTGGAGTTTATATCAAAGACCTCTCTGGTTACGTAGTGAACAATGCTGACGACATGGACAGGATTATGACACTGGGGCACAAGAATCGTAAGTAGAACAATCAATAGCTTTAAAGGGAAGTAGACACCCTCAAAATCAGACCTTAAAACTTTATTTTACCCCGATGCATCTTTTTGGCAGATATGTGCTAACATCATATTAGATAAAAAGATGCTCCTTCCTTGCATATAAGGAAATACGAGGGCGCTTAAGCAATCTTGCAGTCTTGCATTATGTATAACATTGTGTGGATTACAAAATAAAATCTCTGTTCTTCTTTATGTAGATAACATGTATATAAGCATTAAGCAAAAGGCTTGTTATTAGACATATAAAATAACATACAGTAAACAGCTGAGTAGAGATTTTACAGATTGCAAAGCTAATAGGATAAAAAATCCAAGTATTTTGCTTCGTATTTATGTCAACATACATAATCATTTCACTTAATTGCTTTTTTCACATAATTTTATGTGTTTAGGGTCTGTTGGTGCCACAAACATGAATGAACACAGCTCCCGTTCTCATGCTATCTTCACCATCACAATCGAGTGCAGTGAGAAGGGTGTGGATGGAAACCAGCATGTGCGAATGGGAAAACTTCATCTGGTTGATCTTGCAGTAAGTAATTACCCATTCCAGGGGCCGTACTCACAAAGCCTCCTAAGTAAAAAGTGTAGCTACTAGTGATACAATTCTAAGAAAAATCTTAGGACCATGACATCTTCTAAGAATTTCCCCTTAAAGTTAAGACTAGATCCTGTAAAAGATGAAGGTTATCCACAAAGCATCTTAGCCATTAATGGGTGCACTCACAATAGGCAAACCAAGGAAGTGCTTGGGCACAGTACACTTTTACACAGCTCTACACTTTATACTACTATCAGCATATGAAGAGGCCGCTGCACAAGTGGGCATGTGTTTTGTAACATTTTGTAAGCTACATAAAGTTAATTCTGAAAGTATGGCTTACAATTTATTCAACAGAGATGTTCATAACACAAAATAGAGTTCATGATTACACAATGTCTGACTATATTCTATGATTAAGCCGAGTGATTTCAGTGTCTTTATATGCCCATTTTCAATTACAGAGCATTTTTTTCTCTCCTTTTTTGATCAACCAATCACAGCTTTTGAAAAAATATGTAAATCCTAGCAATGAAATCAACCACGCTTCCTCACTAAAATATAAAGTTTCAGTGCCTTCCTCGCTCAGAGTTGCTCTGAGAATGTTCTTAAATCACTCCTAAGCTTGGACTCCTTGCTGGAATTTTTTAAGACAAGTTAGGGTGCTCTCTGAAATTGTTCTCAGAATGTTTGTGAATACATGGCCAGAAATGACAACAATGATATGTGCCTTACTGCACCACAGTCTTATCTTAACACCACTCATGATCTGCCTCCCTACAGGGCTCAGAGAGACAGGGCAAGACTGGAGCCACAGGTCAACGT